TCGTTAAAAGAGGAGCCATTTTGGTCAGAAGATTAATGCCGGCGTTGCATCCGCGGCGAGTAAACTCGCATCTTCCATCTCCTCTTGGCTCGAATACGCGAACACGTTGGTATAATTGCTTCCCTCCAGTCTGTGACCTAGATAATAGGTGAAGTTATTTTGCGCCGAATGCACTGGCAAAGCCGATGCACCGGATCAGAAAAAATGCGACCGTCCAGTTTTTGCATAACGTAAAGGCCGAGTTCGGAATGCCCGTTCGAAACTCGAATTTCTGTCGATGTTTCCGTTTCGATCTAATCACATAATCGCATCGCAGGGAACCTGCAATACCGCGAAAGTGTCCATTTCGAAAGAGAAAATACCTCGCCCGGTAATTGAGTAAGTGGACCTGGGTAAGAGAAAATAAAGTGATAAAGAGTTACGGTAATAGTGGAACATTTCATTACCAGTAATAACGGTATTAAGTGGATCTGCGAAATAAAGTACTTAGCTAAGAAAGAATACGACGAATTTCCTCCCAACCTCGAGATAGCCGCCAAAGTCGATAAAGTTGAGTTCTGCAAAGCGAGCTGCGCGCGCAGCGCCAAGCAGGGCTGCCATTGGCCGCGCCAACTGGCGCCATTTTTCAAACCTCCTCAGCCTGCCTCCGTTTCGGTTTACGAGAGCTTTCGACATTGACAGTCGTTTCTACCTCGCATTTCGATAATGATTTACAATACGTTCCCAGAAAATTAACCGCCTGCAATGAGCCTTTCTAATAACACCAGCCGATTGGCCAACCGCACGTTCACATACAAATAAACAGGGAATTTCAAATTCCAACCTTCACTCCGCTTCCCTCGCTTGTCTGAGTTTCTGACATCTATCTATTGCATGTACACGGAAACGAACGCACCTTCTCACTCAGGCGAAATTTCTCGAAGTTTCGTAAAAAGGGTACGATGTCACGTGCACGGTTTATAAAACATCAGGTGACCGTTGAGTATCAGAGTCTAGGTCGGCCACCCGATACTAGGAACGTTCTGGCATAGGTTACGCAAGACCCGATAGATGGCGAAGTAAGCGCGCGCCGGCGAGCAGGGTCGCCAATCATTATTCAAGTATTTGTACGATTATTTCAGTCCGGTATACTATGCTTTTATAAAATAACAGTACGCGAATTATACTATTACTTCAGTAGGGAATGTAGCTATGGACGACATTGTTATTATCGACGGATATTTTTCTTTACATTCTTGATTTTATACGTAAAGGCGTTTACGCTCTGTTAAAATAGGGAACGGAATTAAGCCGTTTAGCTTTTAATTCCAGTTCATTTTCGGTATTAGAGTTGATTTATTAAGTATTATATCATTTTCGTGATTATACCAGATTGTACTATTTTGATCCGACTGTACTAGAATAAACAGAACTGAAGTTGGCAACACTGCCGGCGAGCGACCGGCTCCCTGGCCTAGAATGGCCGGGTGTTTTCGCGGGACAGGGAGGATCAGCTGATCGCTAGTTAGACTTACCGTAACGAGAGAAATACGAGCTCCAGGAGGCCGGCGAATGCGACGGCGTTCACCTGTTGCTCGGGGCAGACGAGTTGCGACGCGTCGGGTCGAGGAAGCGCGGCTCGCCGGTCCGGAAATCGTTCTCGAAGCCAAGGTCGACGAGGTTCGCGAAGGGCGACTCGACCGTTCTCGCGACACGGACTTGGAATTCCGCAGGGGGGTTCGGTTAAAAATACACGAGGCGGCGGTGCGGGCGCCTTTACCGAGCACGTGAGTCGGCGAGGGCGCCGGAGAACCTGAACCGGCTTCCGCTCGTCGCCTCTTCCTTTACCACCGGATGCGCCAGTTAGACTCGTCGCCATGCACGAGGTCCCGTCGCGATCAGGGATGCGCGCCCCGGGTGTCGTGCTCGCGTTTTCTCGCGCTTTCTAGGTCCTCGAGTCGCGCCGCCTTGCGCGGCCGTCGTGGCCATTACTCGCGGCGAGCGCTCCTTCTTCGTCCCTCCAATGGGAGCATCCGTATGGCTGTCTCGCTCGCTCTCGTTGCGTAACACATGCGTCAGGTGCCGGCTCGAATTTCTCCTCGCGGGGCGAGGACGCGTGGCGCCGCCGAATCCAAGATGGCGGCGCGCGAACCTGCCTCGCTATGGCTCCATAGTACTGACGATTAAAATAAAAACCTATGGATTGTAATCTCTTATGGAAGATGATAATTAAAAGAATTGGTATCTTAGTTTGTACTCGGCCTGTACTTCGTAATTAGAGAGAGGATTTGTTTGCAATGTGTAGGTAGCAGGTGCAAGATCTCCAGGTTCCATTGGAATGTTTGTCTTCATTCCGATAGACCCGAGTATTCCGTCTTGGTGGATGGTGACATTTTGCGTATACGTCGGAATTAATTATCAATATTTAGAGAAGACTGGTTATGTATCTAATTGAGGGGTTTTGTCGAAATAGGAAGTATAGGTACGTTCAAACGTGGCAGACAACTTCGAGTAGTTTCGGAACGTTTCGAGGACTGGATCCAAGATGGCGGCCTAGGCGCGCGCACCTTCTATTCAAACAGGTCGGCGACATTCCGCCAATCTTATGCGGTGCACATATCAACCAGGTTTACGTGAGATACATGAAATTTTTCCTTCGTCTAAAAATAAATTTGAGGTGAAAGGATCACCCAGAAGCGCACGCTATAAATGATATTATTCACTCCCAGGTGGAGCCCCGTCAACGAGCGAGATTAATCTACTTCTCCAATAAGAGAATGCGTCGGCGATTGGTATTGACAAAAAATCACGAGTGCAAGCACGCTCGTGCTCTTTCGCTCTCGTCTGCACATGCAGACGATGATACTCCCGTTTATTACTGATAACGACAACGTGCATGCTTGGCCTTGCGATGCAGAAGTGGTACGTGGACACCATCCAAACTTTGAATCGATTCCTTATTGCACCGCTGCACCGTTATTATAATCGATCGATTTCTTATCAGTTACCTTACGTTTCCAGACGTCGACGAGTGACGGCAGATGATGAGATTGCGGCTCGTTCACCCCGCGGCTCAAGATTTATCTCCAGAAATGGCGTCCATCGGGTCTCCTCCAGCATTATCCTGTGAACAAACGACTTCACTGAATTGGCACCTGCCGAGCACGATTTTAGTTCACGTCCACTTTTGCGCTTCCCGACGACTCGTCGTCGGCGCGTTACGTGTCAGGAAGACGACGAAAACCGAACTCTTATCGGCACGCGATTACGTTATCCTCGCGAAATTCAGTTGATAAGTGTCAGACGGTATCAACGAACGCGAAAAGCTCCCGTCTTTCACGGCTAAAAGAAAAAGAAACCGTCAGGTTGCACAAATGGCTGGGCACCGTTATCAGTTATCATGGCATTAGATTACTCTATAAATAACATTTTCTTGACTATGTTACACCTAGGTTGTCTCACGGAGATTTGATCAAATTCTTTAATAATTAGTCCATCAGATCATTTCCAAGCGTGCGACAATTTGGACAGAAAAGTTAGTACCGAGACAGAAATAGAAATGTAGTTAAGGAACCAGTTCGAGAGTCTGGTCCTCTTATAGGGTTTTATTTTTATACCTCGACAGAATTTCACGGTCTACCTGGAAAGATCAATGTACCTTCTCTACCTCGGCATTGAAGAGGGAAGCACGGTTATTTTAACCGCGATACGTCGACTGTGCAAATCATTGCTGGGTTATGTCAGTACGGTATGACAAATGTCAACCTCAGGGCACCGAACAATGTCTTCTCTTGTTTCCCTGACCCCTCGATGTGGTCCCTGTGATTCAGCACCCGATTTCTTAGGCTACTCTTTTCTTTTTAAATAAGTTATTGCAGCCTAGTTTTCCGCGCTGCGAAATCTCTGCAGAAATCGAGGAGGTGCAGGGACGAATCTAGATTTAGTCCTCTTGTGATTTTTTACATCAGACTTCTTAGTCTCATGAACAAAAGGAACGTAAATTTTGTATAAACTCATTTCCCGGGAATTCGAACGAAATCGACGTTTCCGAGGAGTCCGACGCGTTTCTCAGAAATTGTCAATTGCTATTTATTGTTCCCGCGGCTATTTTTTCTCCCGGGAATCGCAGCGAGACGCGAAGTGGACAAAAAGTCCACGACGATGACATAACATCCCATGTCGCATTCCTTGATACCTCGTAAAAAACGTTTACGCCAAGATATCCCGGCATATCACTCACGAATATTAAACATATAACATTCACTCCAAGCGGTCAAAATTCATTTTGAGTGAGTCGCTTTCGGAATGCGCTCCGGACCCAAATACATTAATTCCCATTTCTCGAGCCATCCCGCAAACCGCGTATTCCCTCATTTAACGACAAATTAACTCGGAGTTGATAAATTTAATCGATAATTGCGCTCTGACATTAATTGGCATCACGAGACCAGCGATTAAAAAAGAAGCAATTAATCTGCGACGGATGAAAGAACTCGGCAATCTCTCATCCACGTCCCGTATCAATTATTTCTTTCCATGTATCGGTCAAACGGTCTCCTTATCACCGAGTTGTTTCCATAATAAAGCGACATTAAGATATACAATTGCACGGCACGCGCCTGACATGTCAAATGTTATCGCGGCGTCTAAACAATGAGCATCGATTTGCATAATCGGCTTTAATCGGGACTGACCTCACGGAGTTCAAAGAGAAGCAGCCGCAACACTTCCGAAATACATGTTCCATGATAATTAGTAAATCACCTATAAGTCAATTAGTTCCTGGACTATCCGATACCCCCGCGACACCTTATCGCTATCACGGCTGATAAAGCTATAAAATTGAGGATCTGTCTAAAATCACGGTCGAATGAGTTTAATTCCCCGTGTCAAAGCGAAGAAGACTCTCACGTACACACGTGTCATGAACGGCTCTCTATACAAAACCATTAAACATGAAATCCGCGAAAATGTAGTCTAAGATCACGGCGGAGAGGGCTGCAACCCGACGCCGGAGGTTCTTACTTCACGGCTCTTTATTCACTTCAGTTTTGCGCAATTCTCCCCAATTATGTACAAAAATATAATGAGAATCGATAATCGTTACAAAGTTTAACATTAGGTACATGACGATGCGTGTGAGTCTCGGTGCGTCCGCGGTCGAGTGGCGCCGCCGCCCCGGCTAGGTTCCCGGCGTCGCGGCGCGCGCCTCCCGGGGCAGGAACCGGCGCCCCTCAGGGTTGGGATCTCCGATGTGCGCGTGCGATCTCGTTGCGGCGAATCGCGAGTTAGAAAAAGGTCTGAGCTCATCCTCACACGTCGAGCGGCACTCTGCATCCCCTCTCTCGGCGCTCCGTTAGCCTTGCGGTCGTCGCTAATCACACGGCGAGCGAAGGGACCGCGATTTCGGCCCGGCGCGGAAACGGCGCCGTCCTTCCACGTCCACACACATAAGTACGCGCTTCCCGGTCTCCTGTTCGAAGATTTAAACTAAGCGATGCTTGTGCTCGCCTCGCGTACAAGGTCGACGATCTCGCCCGCGCGCCTCCGTGAGCCGAGCGAGCGGGCGAGAAATGCGCGACTCGCGTTACAGTCACGGATGCCGGGAGCTTCAATGACACTTTGATTTCATTTCGGTATGTCTGAATCCTAGATCCCGGTCGGAACGACCAGTTCACGATGCATTGTACACGATACCCTGCACCCTGGGTGCAGAAATCGTTAGGTCGTTCCGGACTCCGGGATCCTAGACTCGTACAGAGGACGCGTTCGCTTAACTCGCACGACTTCTCGCAGTTATAGTTCCCTAAAACCGAGGATTCCTGATTGTTCGTGGCCCTTGGTCCTATCGCACAAGTCCTTGACTGAGAGAATTTCATTTTTAACAATGCGTCCTGAGGCTTTGCCGCCCGGAATGGATTACGGAGGCGCTCGATTTCTTTTTTTTTTTCTTCCTTTGCGGTTCGTGCGTATCAGTGATTACAGCATGTTCTCACGCATGCGGTAACGCCGGAGCGAGCGATACGAGCTTCTTTTGGAAAAACCGCGAGAGTCACGTAAAACCACAGAAGCGGAATTCTCGTCGCGCGAGATGATTGCGAACGAGTCACGCCCGGACATTCGTGCTTAATTTGAGGTTCCCGCATTCGCGCCAGTTTCGTTCAACCACTGTACATGGATATATATCTATACATATTTATATTGTATATATGTCAAAGCGAGTTGCCACGTGTCCCAGAGAAACAACAAACGCGTAAACAGCTACGCGCACGCTACCTGGTAATAAACATACGCGAGCGAGCATTTACTTAGCTACTTAACTCAGGTTCGCGCCAATCGTCGAGTACTTTCCATACTAGATGCGTTAATCTCCGATGTACATTTGCCCATAGGTGACTCTTAGAGGACAAGCAAGACGTTTGACTTTTGGAAGGACGATCGACGTATGGCATCTGCGAGTTAGAACATATATGCCGGGGTTTGGAAATCAATTCCTGATGACTTGCCATGCAGCGTGCAAGGCCCCTCCACCCGGCCGCACATCAAGAGGAGAGCCCGCGCTACACCCTTCACATTTCCAGATTTTTCGGCTCAAGGATCCACGATATCAAAAATCACCTCGAGCAAAAGTTATTCCGCAGGTTCTGGCGCGCAATTTTTGTGAGAAGCGTTTTTTGATATCACGTACCGATAATGTGATTTCTCACAACTTATCGATAACGGTTCCTTCGAACACGTAGGAAGTGGTGGCGCGGGCAGTCATGACGTCGCGGCTTAACGCGGTATGACATTTTGGAAATATTTCAATGTCTGGAGCATCCAGGACAGTATTTCGAAAATATATACCGGTGATTGGCCGTGTTTTAGGGTCGTAGAAACTTTGGACGCTGCATGGCCAAATTTTTTTTCGAGCAATCGAGCGGATTCGCAACTCCGGAGGGTCAACTTTGAGTGTCCGGCATTTTCCACCTAGGATCGAACTACCATCGATTCGGAAGTGGATGACGATATGAAAACGCCTAAGACTCGGAATCGAAAATGTCGTATAAAAAGCCTAACTTTCCGCGCAGTCAGGAGGGAGAGAGAGAGAGAGAAAGAGAGACAAAGGACGAAACAAGAGGCTCGGTATGAACGCGTGTTACAAACGACGAGTCGCGTATAACGAAACGCCATACATAGACAACAAAAGTCAGGCGACAGTGGCCCCACCATTTCGAGAGCGATTTTCCGAAACGTACTGAGTTCCAATCTGGGGCAGTTTTTTCCGATTATACATATATAAAAGAAAAAAAGAAAATTGACTGATCTGACAAAGGAAGCACTAACCACACTCACGTAACAATCGCCGAATGATCGCTAATAGACGCTTATGAATTAGAATTAGAGCGGCGCCCAGTCGGTACAACAAATTGAACTAGTTAATCGACTTATTAACAACGGATCCCAACCGGCGCTCTAATTACAATTTCCAATCGCAATTAGCAAGTTAATCAGGAATTATATTACAGACATAATCAATGCCGTCAATTATCCGAACAACCATCCTCCGCTTTCGTTGCTGTTCAGATACGTCCAATCGCATTAATTATTAATCATAAAACGCATGTCTTTCTGGAAACGAGAGTCGGGCAAACGATCGAGTGGGTCGGCGGGACGTATTTGAACCAGCGGGGTTAAAATTCGCTCGTCGAAGACCTCGAAATTACACGAATTGTACCTCGGTGAGCCCAATGCACCTGCATGGGTACGCATCGATTGTACGCAATATTGCGAGCGCTCGTGGAAAACGCTCACAAAGACACCCTGACCGCTGGCTACAAGGATACAGTGCACTAATCCACAGTCAACTCGAACCTATCGATTCCAAACCGTACTTTCGTATCACAGTTTCGGTAGTCTACGCAACAGTAATTACCTATTTGCATATCAACATCACCCTGACCCAGTACGTTCTGGAAAACGACGTAATATAAAAGACACGAAGAGGACGGGCTTACACGAACTCCTAAGTCGCGTTAGTCCATCGCGATTGACAGATGACAAGAAAGTTAAGGCGTTACTAATGTGACTTCCGAAGACCCAATTGTTTATGAAACATGGGTGTAAACGATTGGATGTATCTAGTTTGGAGTAAAGTTTCACGTACGAGACTCCTCGGATGGCACTTTTCGTAACGCCTTAACGCCATAAGGAGTGCATGTAGGTCCGTCCCTCCAAATCGGACACCGAATTTATTTGGAGCGTCCCTTCAATCGAGTGCATGGCCGGAATTACGGGTCTAGCTCGACTCTACATCCTCGTTCCTCGTTCCATGCCTGGCCTCGATTAATATTCGGCGTGCTAAGCAGGGGGGAAAAAGCGAGAGAACCGACTTATTGTGCCGCGCGACCGGCGCGTGACCATCGAGTAGCTTCGCAGTGAAAATCGAAGCATTGAACACAATCGGGGCAGTCGGACGAAAAGACGAAGTCGAGGCCGCACATGTCCCTGGAAGGTTTTCCCGACCTCCTCAAGGTGTCCCGGGGATCCTCGAACAAGATCAGCAGCCTCGGCCGTTTCCTCTTCAACGAGGCGAATGGTGAACACACCCGCGCCATTCTCGAATCGCCGTGTCAAGTGCACCCAGGCTCCTGCCACGACCTAAGTAATAACCGTGTATTAATGTTCTCCTTGCAGCGAAGCTAGACGTCGCCTGGACCCGCTCCTTGTCGGGGACGATGTGTACGCGAGAGGAAGACAACACGTGGATGAGGTGCGAAGACACGAGAGATGTCCGATCCCAAGTGAGTGGACCTGCAGAAGCTGGAGAAGTCCGCAGCGGATGAGCTGTTTGCGTATAGACGTTAATAATTCCCTGGTGTATCTTCAGCTTCCTACTGGATGGACCAAGCTCGGTGGCCGGGAATATCCAGGTTGGCGAGGAGACCTTTACGGATCGGAGAACAACGTCCTAGGAGGCCATGTCCAGTTTAGGATTTCCCCCCTTTCCGTTGACGAGGTGCAGAGAGGGAAGAAGTGCCCGATTTAAGGTGGGATTCAGAGATTCGAGGATTTCCATCCAGGTATTATCACTCGATTTGATACCTCGAATAGCCCTTCGCCTTTTGCTCCTCGTGTTCCTCTTCCGCAAGTTAGGGGTATGGATGAAGAGGTTAGCCAGTCGAGCGGACGACGTCCGTGATAACGTAATTATATAAACCATTAACCGATATTCTTAATATTTCTCCTGTTTTAGTTTCTTCCCAAGGTGTCCCAAGGTCCCTAACCCCCTCTTCGGGGGACTCGACCCCTCTTCGAGGAAGAATCGACGAAGAATGCGATGAAGAATCGCCGATGAGCGCTTGTGTATCTTTCAGGCGACTCTGCGAATGTCTTCTCTGTGTCCGTCCATGTCTCCGCCGCCGATTCCGGCGAATGATGCGACCAAGGTCGGGCATTGTTCGTTTATCCCTTTCTAGCGATCGTGCGAGGTGCAACGGCGTCTCGGCGTCCGATGTCCGACCCAAGGAAGACGCGTCCACGTGCACCCCGACGTCTCTTCGACAGCTGCCGTACGCGTTACATCCGGCGCCTCCGGTGTTCTTGGTAGGATGATCAGTTATTAAACAGTTCTCGCACTTCCTCTTCCTGCTCTCCAGGTTCTGTCTTACTCTTGACGGTAGTTTTGTCGCGATGTCTCGCTCAACGGCGATCAGTTCCAGGTAATGAATGGTGCGATGCATGGGTCGACCTCGCACATTAGGCAAGCTTCTTCTCGGTGTTGTTGTTGGCGACGTAGCCGTTGTTCGTACCGTTGCTGTAACAACTGTTGTACTCGCTATTGTAGATGGTGGCGTAGGACGACACCCCGTTGGCCTTTGGCCTGGTTTCGTCGTCCAGGACAGGCATACAAGCGCCGAGGGAGGTGTGCCCATTCTCCTGGCGACACTTCGTCCTCGCACTCCTCGAGGGCTCGGTGTACTTTGACTTGTAGAAGTCCGAAAACAGACCCAGGAACAAGACTCCGTGCAACCCGATCCAAATCATGAAACTGCGCGGGTAGTCGCACTCCGTGAAGAGCAACTGGAACTGATGGGTCATGATCATGACGAACTGAACCTGAAATTGAACGCAAACGGCTGATAAAATCCATCTGCTAGACCGAGGCTCGTGCTCGTACCTCACTTTTAGTGTCTTTTACCTAATTAAGGTGATATGAAAGTGGCTGAGGTCTGAGGGGTGAATCGTAAATGAAATTTTTCTCGAGACTCGATGCATCGATACGTTTGAAATTTTACTTCGTCAATGTGGGAGCCCTAAGGCAGGTTCCGACACCCATAAAATTTAATTTCTGAAAAATTTGTTGATGTTTTAATTTCTTAGAAAAAAAAAAAAAAAAAATTGAAATTTCATGAGGGTTAGGGCTTTAATTATGGTTTTGACATTCATGCGGTTAAATTTCAGATTATACTGTGCATCCAATTAGGAGAAACGTTTCATAAACTATTGATCTCACGGATGCTACTTTCATATACCCTTAAAGATTACAGATAAAGGATGTCTATTAACGCTAAAGTGAGGTATTTGTGCGGACCTCGGTCTCTGGTCCAAGGATACTTAACAAGTTTCACAGGTAACTCTGCCGTATGAATTTACCAAATTATTAGTCTTCCTAATTCATGCTTTTACACCGCCTTAAAGATTACAAACCAAAAAAAATATCTTTTATAGTATGAATCCGTGGCCTGACCCGAGGATATTCAAGCTTCGCAGGTAACATTCTACCAGGTGAATTTCCTCAAGTTTTAATCATTCCACATCCTTATAGACACGACTGAACGGTGATCCTCACCATTTGGAGGGTTGTTAGGTATTTCTTCCACCAGATGTACTTCTGGTACTCGGGTCCCATCGCCGCAACCATGTAGTAGAAGTACATGATTATGTGGACGAAGGTGTTGAGAAGGGCGAAGAAGGTGCTGTGACCACCAGGTGCGAACTTAAGGCCCATCCACACGGAGAACGGCATGACGCCGTGGTGGATGACGTGGAGGGTCGACACGTGTTGGTTCTTCTTCCTCAGAATGAAGAACAGCTGAAACGTAAGTGGGCGGTTAAAAGATTGCGTGCTAAGGTCTTAGCTGGTGAAAAAAAAAAAAGAAAAAGAGAAAAGAAATCCACCGAGTCCCTCCATAGGTTCCGAACAGCTGACCGTAGGCGTAACGTCGAGGGGACCGACGCCGGGACGTCGACGCAAAATTACGTCACTCGAGTTTTTCCCAAGAATGAGGCCACGGGTCTTTTTACGACAACTCGCGTTTTACGATATCGATCGTACAATGCGGAGGAGTACATTCGAGCGCACCAGAGTGACTACTCTTGCAGCGAGCCGTTTTGCATATTACGGCACCGTCATCGGTACACCAGCAGAAGACACCAACACATTTTATTCCTGACCTGCGCATCCGGGCATCGAAGATTGACATTCGACGTACGCACTATCATCGCCCTTGACGTTACCGTCCACCGTCGTCAGGCCGAGTGTGTATCACTCCTTGTGAGTATTATTTTCGAACTGGCACGAGTTATTCTTGGGAGCGCAATTTCTCTGCAGCCTTACCGTGTCGAAGAATTCGGTGAACTTGCTGAAGTAATACCACCAGCAGGTCTGGGCCATCCTTAACCCCAGCGGGCTGTTCGAGTAGTCCACCGGTTGACACCGGAAGCTGTACCCCCTCGCCCAGCCGCTCATCAAGTACTGAAACATAGACGACCTTCAATCGCAGTCATACACGTTAAATAGCCTATTAATACGGCCCGATGTACTTGATCTGCCCTGTCACCGAGATCAAATGAACTCCGTGATAAGAGGCGAGACGTGAAGACCGCCGACGTTATTGGCGCCGTTCGTTAAGGCGATATGAAAGTGCCGTCTGGGGGGAGGGTCTCGTTTATGAAACTTTCCTCTGAAATGGGTGGACCGAATGGTTTGATATTTTACTACATGAATACGAAGGTCTTAATGAAAGTCCCGATACCCAGGAAATTTCGTCTGTCATCTTGGTAATTTGTGTAAAAATGAAATCTCACCGTCATTCACAGGGTACAAGTTCAAACAACTCGGCACATCCACTTCGGAGAACAGTTTGACATTTTCATGTAATTATTATTAATTTGATATATATATAACATTTTTTTTTTATGAAGTCAGGGGTTTACTCAGGGTCTACATATTCACAGGGTGAAATTTTTTAAATAATTCCATCTATCCAGGGTGCTGAAAGGAATAATATGTGATTGACCTATCGGATGTCACTTTCATGTCACTTTAAGCGACAAAAAACGAGCGTTCGTCAAATCGAGACCTGCAAGGCGTCGATCAGCGATAAGTGCTTTCCCGGAGCGTTAAATTAGCGAACTTCACTAGTTCAACAAACAGCGCTCTCAATTAGCGCGTTTCGCAGGCCGGGGTCTCGGAATTGCGGATTTGCAATTCGCAGCTCTGTCCCGGAGGTGACTTAATTTCCCATGAATAACGACGGGATAAACGGGGGACAAGAGAGAAAAGAGGCTGCCGAGTGTCTGCGATTTGTATGCCGACAAATCATCGTCTCCGACGCCGAGCTGAGCAAACATCGGCGGATCGTATCGTGTACAAAGAGTCCATCTCTAGGTACCGTTTAAAATATTTCGACGTCTCGAACACTTTCCAAATATGTATGCCAAAATTGGAAACTGCGCACTTGGTGGAAAACCCCGACAAATACCACCTTCCGAGGATCGCCATTTCTACGCAAGAATTCTTAATGATAAGATGTGAAGGAAAAATGGATTTGAAATTTTTAGTATACATGGCCTCTGAAATTAGTATACTTGCATGCCAAAATTCTAAACACTGTATCTTGAAAAAGCTTCATCTGCATGTATATTAAAATTTCAAAAATGAATTTACAAGCGATAACAGGCCACCCAGCTCCGAGAAAACCGAGAACCCATCCAACCTTCGAGATCTAAATACCGTTCTGGAATTTAAATTATGGATTAACGCCCGGGAGTAGCCTCAGAATCCTGGGAGAAGATCCTTCGAGTGTTTGCGAGGAGCTTCAATGGGGCGAAGGAAGGAAAAAAGGACCCAGAAGAAGCTCCACCGAAAATGGGAAACATCCTGAAGTTCTTTCTGCGTGGGCCCGGCGATCTGCAGAAGTCTTCGGCAAACATTTGCTCTGCCGATGAAATACCTAGAAAAGACGCCGGAGATCCAGCCAATTTGAATACATCTATTTCGATGGGTGCTCATCAGAGGAGGAAACGAGACCTCCCATCGGAGGAGAGACGGAAGAGCGAGAATCAACACAGAGGAGAGATACGTGTACACGCACGCGTAAGTACGTAGGCGTAACTCGTTTCCCGAGGCGCGGAAATTGATGGGATGCTGGGAAGAGGGTTCCATTCGCCGGTAATTACTTTCCGGGTCCCCTCGTTTCGATCTTTTTACCCTTTCAAGAGGAATATGAACGGGAGCGGAGGAAGGACTACCTCGAGACATCTTTTACTTGGGATCTCTGGGAGCACTCTTTCGACCTTACCCTAAGAAAAAATTCTCTCCGACTCTAAGAAAATCACTTCTTTGAGTAATGCTCATTTAAATGAAATAACAGGGTTCTGGTGGGAAGAAAAAAAAATGTAATTACCCAAGTAAATCGTAGAATATTCCCTCGGTACTCTCATTTCGATGCGAAATATACTTTTGGCATTTGCCGTTCGTCGATTCATAAGGTATCCTGATTAGTCAAGAAATTCGGAACATCATTATCCTGTTATATTACTTAATGAATTCTAAGGAAGAAAGGTTCGACTTGTACGTTCGGGTGGATTTTCATTCGATACGAGTGGGTGTTTTATTGATGTAAGTAATAAATAAAAGCATCGATACTTTAGTCGTATCGGTTTATTCCTACTGGAGAGAAACGAGCGCTGATATCGAAAAGAAAGGCACGTGATGAAAGGAAGATTTTCAAGGCGGTCTTCAAGAATCAAAGACGCGTAAACATTAATAAGTCCTTCTTATCCAGCGTTAAACGAGGCGGAAAAGCGAGAGGATTAAGTAATCTCGGATTAACTAATCGAATCACCTCTTCATCCTCTGCGGTTTTCGCGAGTCCTTTCCATCGTCCATCGGTCGGACTGGCATGACGTACAAGAAGGCTTTCGCATTGACGACCTTCTCGGGTCATTCCGTCATTTCAATACTTAATAATCCCGACGACGTCAGTCAGTCTGAAGAGTATGCCGAGAGTTTCCACGAGTACTAAGTGCGTGCGTAATCACCTCAACGCGCATCGTCCCCCCCAGAAATCCTGTATAAACGAGATAGAGCCCTACTCCACAACGGATTACAAAACCCAATTGAATCAATAATTAAATTGCCCTTCGTCTCTTCCTCCGTGCAATTTTAATAATTAAACGATTTCAACTCCCGGCATAGGAAAACAGGTCGGAAATGTCGGATCCGGCGAGTCGTGACGCTGGGAGCAATTTACCCGGGAAAACGTGCAGTCCGGCTCGAGTGCATTAAATTGCAATTATTTCCCCGGACAATCCCCCTGAAGTCCGCGGTGTTAATCCCATTATCCTCCGAATTTACATTTTATTCCGGGCTCTCGGCTAGGTACTGCGATTTAAGGGGACTTCGAAATGACATCGGAGGGGCCAATCATGAAATCATTTCTCCAAACTAGGCCTACCGAATCGCTTCGATCTTTACAACGTGAACGTGAAGGCTATAAGGAAGACCCTAACACCCATGAAATTTCATTTTTTATACAAAAACTTTGAAGATATCTATAAAGAAATTTGTTAAAAATTAAAATTTCATGGCCGGAGGGACCTTCCTTGTAGCATTAACATTCACGGTGTAAAGTTTGAAACGAAGCGATACGTCCTGTTCGGAGAAAAGCTTCATAAACGAGACCTCTCTGATGCCACTATTGCATCTCTTTAAATAGTTTATTATTCAACGTCGGATGCACCTCGTGGTAGGAAGTCTTTGCGCGAGGAGCGTCGAGTTCTGCGTTTCGAAGATACCGCGGCCGGGTTCTGGGGATGAATATTAATAAATAATCTCCCAATGGTCCCGATTCGTGGATATCGATACCCGGGACTTTCCTCCGTCGAGAGTAAAAGTTCCGACACGAGGAGAGGCCGTTGACGGGCCCGAGGGTCAGCAACCTCATCGGCGATCGATGCTGACTTTGTCCGGCACGAAAGTGCCGTTCCTTTAGAAAGAGCATTCACGGCGGAATTTTGCCACGCCGATGGATTCCGTGTAATAGAACGAGAGTACGACTAGGAGCCGGATACGAGACCAATGCAGATCTTGAAGGAGCTGGACCAGATTTTTCCGAAAAATTCTTCGCCCTCAACGCTACCTTTCGCCTCGTCAGCTGATTTTTCCCCTGTCAGCTGATTTTCACGTCGTCGTCCGATCTCAAGAAATCAGTCACTCGAGACCTCTTGAATGTTGCCGTATATAGATGTATAATATAATATGCAAAAAATGCCCTAGTTTTTATCCACCAGTACTTTCCATAAAATTCTCAATATTCTAGACCGTATTCACAAGAGACTAAGATTCGGAGTATTTATAAACTGCCCTCAAATTTTAACAAAACAATCCAAATGTTGACACTCGATTTTCCTATAGACACACCGAAAAAAAAATAAATAAAAGGTTCATGCCTATAAAACGGCCAGCTACATGTGCGTACTCTCCCTCAGTTACAAATGTATCTCGAGTCGCATTCCCCTCAAAAAAAAAAACCCAAATCACCTATTTTAGCCAACGCATTTTGTTCAAAATAAGGATACCAGTACACCACCTAGATAGTAGGATCAAATCATAACTTCCTTCGATCAGCGTGCAAATTACAACTCCTTTCGCTCGTCCGTGAGCTTAGCTTTCAATTTGAATAAATCAAGTAAAATAAATAAAAATCGGATTAGTGTAGGAAAATAAGAAAATCGACACGCTCGGAATGCAGGGCACAGAAGTGCGCTCTTATCACTGGCCTCGAAGCCCTTGTAGACAAAACGGTGATTATTATAATCACCCGGTGGCAAGATCCGAGATCCCTGTCCGAGGCACATTTTGCATAATTTCCTGCGGTCTCCCTTCGTGTTGGAGAAAACGGGAGCGACGTCATCGGCGGAGTACACGCGGCTTAACAGGTGAGCAAGTGCAGCCCGTCCTTCCCTTGCCCTACATAACCGAGCCACTCGATCGGACACTCGACACGACGTACTCGAGGAGCACTCGAGGGGCCAAGTTGGAGTCTCCAGGATGTCCCGGGACTCGTTTTACACGTAGATCCGCACAACGAGGCGCGGCTTTAATTGCTTAATCGCCGGGACATCCTGCGAATTTCCATATTTCCGCTCGGCCCGAGTGCGAGTTCAGCTTCTACGGATGCGAGCCTGCCCCAGATAACCTTATCACAATTTCTGATCAATCTGCTGATCAGCTGTACTCCGCCGTTGCGCGAAAATCCATAGGTACACTCGATCTTTACGGGAGAAATTTCGATCTGGGAAAAAAGATGAATTAAATTGAATTTAATTAAGGATTCACTGAGAAAAAAAAAAATTAGTTACATTATAGTAATATACACCGTTGACATAGGTGTACTGTTGCCGGAACCGTATATAATTCCAAGCAACAACTCTTCTATCGGGAGAAAAATTGACGTCGACTTTAAACCAATTGTTCCCGATTTAAAATAACTTCCTTAACTCATCCTGACATTTCCTCGGACGTACTTGATCGCAGAATTTTTCTCGACGTGATGCATATCTCTGAGTCAATTAATTCGTTCTTTTTATTTTATTTTCCGTACGCCTGTTCGCGGACTTTGTGAAGGTTACAAGTTCACTTCTTGCAGAGGTACGAACTGTGTGTTCATTAATAAGCTTGCAATTGTTAAGCAACAAGAAGGAAAGAAAAAAACGGAAGAGAAGAGAAACGACAGCAGATACAATTTGCCGGCGGCCTCTTGAAACGGCTCGATATTCTCTTTCGGGAATAATGCGGGAATTACGATGCAAGGGAAACTCGGTTACCGGGAGAAAGAGACATCTTCCGCGTAACAGAGGAGTCGTTTGCGGGTATTTAGACCGAGGCCACTTTTATGCCGTCCCTAATAGTCTCGGCGGTGCATCTCCCGTGGGCGCCTTGAAAGTGACGCGTTTTACGGCGGCGGTTCAAGCACCTTTCCGGGGGAAACGGCGCGGGCGGGCCGCGATTTGCCGTAATTACTCCCCCATTTACGATCGAGCCCGAGGTAAAATGTCAAAATCGGCGACCGCGAGGCAGTACCCCCTTTTCCAGCGATTCCGGGAGAAATAATGAAGTAATCCCGCCGATGGGTCTCCCGTCGTGGGAAAAGCTCCGAGAGAGAAAGAGAGAAAGAGAGAGCTTGCGCTCGTACCTCCTCTCTTGGGTAGGCACGGTAAACATCAAAGCGCGGTAATGGAATCCTTTATGAGGACACTCGCCACGCGAGTCCTGTCCGATGGCCAGGACGTCGCTAATTCCCTGCATTTGCGATACCCCGCGAATGGATTTTTTTTCTTCCCCCCAATCATCTCTCTCCTTCCGCCTTTTTTCCATTTCCTATACATTTATTATTTGCGGCATAGCATGTCGGTATGGCGTAAAAAATGGCCGAGTCTCCAAGGAACGAGAAGCTCCATCGGTAGAACGTGTGCCCATCGAGGAAGACACCCTGGGGAGAAGAAAAAAGAAAAAAAAAATGTCATTCGACCGAAGAAACGTTCCTTCGAATGGTACCGATGAGATAGTTTGTCAATTCCCGCAACGGAAGAATTATCATAAGTTATTAAAGAATTTGGTCATGTTGACTGGATATCCGGGGGTTCGTGTAGTAACCATATTCTTCGGCCGAATCAGTCTTTTTTTTTTTTCGGGAATATCTTCCTGCCTGTACGATGTTGCACGGGGTGGTAAACAATTTATACATTTTTAGAACTGTCATGGGAATATTGGAAGCCTGAAACGGAACGTGTCCGATGTCTCGTCGGACGACAGGTGTCATCTCGAGACGGCAGGTGTCAATGGATAAATCTGCCAGGTCAGGTCGAGCAAACCACACGTACGAGATCAGGTTATCGATGTTTGACCGATTGCGTCTCGTCATCACGTCGTGGATTCCGGGGGTCTACAGGTGTCGTTGACACCGCTCGATTCCGGTCGTCGAGTTTATCGCCGACCAGAGGAACGTCGGGGAAGTCGATCGCACGTGACTCTGAATCCCATATAAACTTCGAGCGATCATTCCGATTTATAAAAAACGCCCTTAAATCATATCTCAAGGTGATATGAAAGTGTCCTCGGGTGGTCAAATTATTAATAAAATATTTCTCCAAACTAGGTGCATCAATTTGTTTGACATCTTAACGCTTGGCAAGGTGTTATCTGGTACACCTTACGTACGCGTACCCAAGGTTACCGAATAAGTAAAAGTCGTTTCCAGTAGGCGGCACTTAGGCCAATTGTTACAGATCAGGATCGAGGCCTATCGGTCGGCCCGTTAGACACGAGAGCGTGGACGAGCCCCAGGAGTCGTGACTCGTGACACGGGTGTACATAACTGTAGTGCCCCGTGCACTCGACATACCGAATGCGAGGTGAATTCGAATCGGTCACGTAAAGGCTCGAGGTGAGTACTTGCGCACTCGCTCATTGTGCGCCCCAAGGTCTCCCGACACGGACACCTCGACACCGTCGACGATTTCGGGGTACCGTTCGAGGAGACTAGAAAATCGGCCGCCGGCCATGGCCCAGAATCGGCGGCCAAGATTCACGGGGAAAGTCGAGGCCTCCTTTTTCTCGAGGGTGTCGCCATCGGGGTCTCACCTCGTAGAAGATCCAGAGGGAGAAGAGCGTCTGGACGAGGTTGTAGGTTATCAGGAGGCCGCGGAGCTCGAAGGGCTTCCGGTTCTCCATGAGCCTCGGGCCCAGGACCTTGCTGAAGTAGACGTACGACATGCATATCGCCACCGTGGGGAAAGGACTGCTCATCATCGGCCACTCGTTTACCCTGGGATCTGGAAAAAAAATCACGGTTCATCGATTAATCGAGGGATTAGGGTGATACGTAATGACCCTTAGGTCATTCCATATTAATGAAAATTCCAAGCCCAGCCCAATATTAATAACAATTTTCGCCCTCCCTGCAGGGTACTATTTCCAGAAATCAGGACCGGAGTTCTCTGCTTCTCTTTCTCGAGTTATACTCCTCTTTTTCGGAGCATTTCAAGGAATAAGCCGCGAAGAGTGCCGCCACCTCGAGGGGGGAAATCTCCTCGGGATTTTAGGCGGATCCCGAGGGAATTCTTACCTCGAATTCGCGCCCGATTTTTCAGGGATCATTTCGAATCTCTACGAGGTAAGGAGCTCTCTCCTCAGGGATGAGGACAGGGTAAGGATGGGTAAGGATAGGTAAGGACGGCTTTCGAGTCCTCCAGCGCGGGCGGAGCTCAAATGCAAACCCTGGAACGAGAGCGGTCTCGGCATCGAGAGTACTTCCCTCATTTCTGGGGCTTTTTTGCCCGACAATGCGGTAATTAGGACTAGTAGGGAACAATGCTCGATTGCGACAATGCGGTGCTCCGGTGCCTAGGTACCCGGCCGTAGACAATTATTAGAGATATGGAGAAACTCTTCCGTTTATTATCCCGTCCACTGCCACTCTCTGTTCTACCTCCGGCGCAAAAATGCCGCCTGTGAACAATCCGCGATTATCGTTCAGGAAAAAAAAAAAAAAAATTTCTGTACAAATCTTTCAACAGTATCAAAAAAAAAATATTTATAAAACTTTTCCTTAAACTGGATGCAGTCGAATAATTTTAAACGTTATCACGTGATTACGGAGGTCCTAATGATGGTCTTCAAAAATCCCGAAATTTTATCTATCAAAAAAGAATTTTTTAATATTCACTCCGGACAGGGACCAAAGAAAAAAAAAAATCTTTCCACATAATGAAATTTCCCGAGTCTCAAGACCTTCGTTAGGACCCCCCATAACAACGTGTTAACGTTTCAGATTATTCGGCTGCACCGAATAATATGATTTTCTCATACAGAATATATGACACATTCATGGCACCTCAAACGACGGATTTATCCGCAGAATGGCGTAAAGGGAAAGGAAATGGGAAGGGATTATTCGCCGGCTAGAAGGGCGGGAGAACGAAGGTTCGCCCCATAGGCAAACACCCCGCAACGCGTTCATTAATTAACCGAATGCCCCGGATTAATAATCTCCTCTCCTCGCAAAGTTAATTTAACGACGGCCCGACAGGTCCCCTCTATAAGGTCGGCACGGAGGGTGAGCTCGGTAAGGTTGAATTACAATTACCGAGGGCCATTAGCGGGGGCCGTCGTTGAATTTCTGGACAAATAAATATCGCCCACCCCCGACCGTGGGTGAGGCATAGGGAAACGACAGCCTAGCTCGTCCTCGTTTATCTAAGGAGACATGTCGCCGTTCTGACGAATCGATTACCCCGCCGGCGACGTTATTGCTATTCATCCGCAGCGTAATTTTCTGCGGTTAAAGCGATAATGGCCTAATAGCGGTCGGGCAACGGAAGGCATTTTTCCCGGTACGAATCGATTCGCTTTTGCGTGCCTTGAGGGGGAAAAAAAAAAAAAATTCCACTTCAAGCACAATCGAAAACGAATTTCGGAATTGCGAGAAGGCAACATTTCGTCCATTTAACGAGATCGTCCGATTTGTTGCACTTGGACCCTCCCGGTAAACCATTCGGTCGTATAAAACCGAATTTACCTCCATTTGACCAAACTCGTTTGTTTCGATGAATTAAAAAGTCTTTCGGTTAAGTCATTTCGTCTATTATGAAATATTCTAGTCAACGAAGTTCCCCCCGAGTAGCACAAAATATGTGTCTTACATTCTCTGTACATTTAACGAATATCGTACCTGCTGTATATATTTACCAGACATTTGAAGTGTTTGCAAGGGATTTACTTTATAGTGTTATTTCTTAAATATTGCTCATGTACATCCTGAACGCTTTCGAAATGCTTAAAAGTCAAAGTCACGTGTTTTGCCCCCACGATTACTCTCCCGAGCGCCCAATTTTCGCGTCCCTTGGTCGCGGCCTCGAATTCCCACAATGGCCACCTAATTGCACAACAGGCCTTCCTCCATTGTTTCCCCGGTTTTCTGCATTGCGGTACCGATTTCAGTTCGAGGTTCGACCTCGCGGGTCGATCGCGCCGGAAGAAAAGTAGGCCCTTCCGGCTCGTGGGAGTGCTCGAAGCGCGATTAGGGAAACGCAAGCTCGCCTGTCGGCGCGTTATTAAGGTGATAAGAAAGGGTCAATCTATATGCATATCGGAACGTCAAAATATTTACGAAATCAATCTCCAAATTGGGTGCACCTCCAACTAAGAGAACGAGGACTTGATCTTACCGTCTGGCGGAGTTTCATCAAACGACTTGGCGTTTTGCAAATCGCCGAATTTAACGATTTTACTGCGACATATCTGTCTACGCATACTTAGGATAACACCTACGTAGATGGGAGGCCTAGGGCCGTGGCCGTGACAGAAATCGCGATGTCGCAATTTCGCTGAGCCGGCGCTGCGATTAGGCATTCGCGGTATCGGCCGCGCTCGTTCGAGCCGCTTTCACGAGCGCGAACGGAGTTGACGAGCGGAGTCGGTGTGGCTTCTTTAGCTCGCAGGAAAAAAAAAATTAAAATACCAACAGGGGGAATATCGCGAAGGAAACGAAAAAAAAAACCAATAGAAAGGAACAATGGAAATCGTGAAAAGGACTTGCCATGAAATTTTTGGACGGGGTGGAAGAATTCAGACTAATCCACTGGAGTATCCCATAAAGTATTTGGGAATTGAAAAAAGAAAAAAAAAATAATGAAACGAAAGGAAAAAGGAAGAAGCAACGGATGCAATGGAATGGAGAAATGCGAAAATGTCATTTTCGTAACGAGTTTTGAGAGAATTTTTAGAACTGAATTACAAAGATCCATTTTACCGTACGCGTGAAACTTGCATAAAAGTGTTTGTCTACGAACTGTATCGAATTTCTTGATCTTTTATGTCGTGTCATGCTCATTTCCCCGTTGTTTGATGTTAATTAAATATCGCATTTTGTCACCATATATGCCCGTTCCACCCATTTTTTTTTTTTTTTTGATAATCGTATGCTTGAATGAAACTACCGGAAAGACGGCAAGAAATGATCAACAATTCCGAAGAATACATAATTAATTAATACATTGTTATTTTCGTATGAAGGAATACATTTTTTTTAACCTGCATAAATTCGTGAACTTATCGACCAGACTTTAATATTTCTGCTTCCCACGATTTCATCGGTTTCCCCGACTGTACGTGCATTTGGATAAATTTTCATTTAATTTCACTTTACACAGTTAAAGATAAATGAAAATGGAGAAGTTCGGACTTCACGATACTGCGAATGGTAGTCGGGAATTTCATTCATTTCGCGAAGTCGACGTCCGACCTAAGAAATGATTAGAGCGGTTGGGCTTGTAGGTCTTGAGCAAATCATTACCTTCGGCTTGATCTTAAGTGAAACCGGTGCAACTAGGCCTTGACACTCCACTTGGGAAAGAAAGGTATGCGGCACGCGAGCGTTTCGCATTTTGATCAAGACCGCTCGATTGGATCGGCAATCGGTCGCGAATGAGTAAAAGTACCGACGAGATGAGAGAATACGAGATTTCAGGTAATTAATAATTAATAATCGCGATAGAAATCCCATCCACTGGTGCGGAATCACCCCGAGAAAGAAATCGTTCACTGAGCCGAGGAAACATTTCGCTGATGCGAGGAATAACAATTAGACTGGAATAAACTCAAACAAACGGTCAACATTCCGAAGAAACGTTGCATCGAATTTATGCGAGTTCATTTAAGTCGAATAATTGATTCGTTTAATTAACAAAGCATTTACTTTGATGCGGTCCATCGAAATATCCCCCTCTGGTTAAATGAAATTATTTTCTCGGTGCACCGGCTCGTGGAGTTTCCTCATTCGAGGTGCGTCGAAAGGCGATAATCGGTAATAAATATATCGTCGTTTGGGCGTGTCGGAATCCGTGGCGGACAATCTGGGAGAATTTTAATACGTCGATGACGCCGAGGTGGAGGAATTCTCCGAAATGATTTTCCTGGTGGGCCAGGGCTCGGGACGGGCAAACAATTTGATTTGCTCCTTTATGGACGGGAGGACTAAAAAGTAACGAGATATAGCACCCTCATTTACATACCGGATTTATTGTCCATGAGGTCCCTGTAACCGTGCACCAGATTCGCCACTATACTCGTCATCTTGCCTCGTGTCTGAAAAAGAAAACAATACGTGAATTAATGCGCTGCACTCTGCGCCGGAAATGTTCATAACCGACGGTATTTTTATCGCTATCAAAGAGCAATTACAACCGTAATAAGTCGTAATACTTGGCGGGTACTCTGCACGACCGATCCTCGTCGAGACGATTTACGTGAAGTATTCCTTTGGTTTAATTAATTCTTTTTTTTCTCTCAGTATAATGCGAGGATTTTCGTAAGAAAAAAAGTTAATCGAGAAGCTTATTATTGACTCGTTATGCCTATCTCTAAGTGATCCCTGAATCTTCTTTGTCGATTGAAGATCAATATGCGAATATAGTTTCCATTTTTGGCGAGTGGGTTGTTAGACTTTAGGTCCCAAGGTTGCAGGAACGTAAAAAAAAAATGATTTTCTCTCCAATTTAATGCCCAACTTACGACGCTCTTATTTCTCATTTACGGGCGGGGATAAAGTTTCCTCATACGGATTTTTTCTTTTATTTACATTCAAATGATACGATTCGCCGCTTCTCTTTTTCCTGGGTCCCAGAGTCCAGACTGTAAGACATTCCGACATGTACCGTAGAACAGACGCAATTTGTATTCTTTATTTTCACACGATTAATAAAACTTCCACAGGTTCCCCGATCTTTCCGAAATGTTCCGGTCCACGTTTTAACAGGTCCCAAGATTTATTAACAGGATGTACGTCATTCGAAAGATGTTCAGGCCTACGCTTTAACAGGTTCTAAAAATTGATTCCACGACACTCGCATTAATTTCTTTACAAGCAAGTAATAAAATCCTCCTCTAAAATATTTATCCCATATCCCGCGGCATTAAATATTTTTTATTTCTCATTTTTCATTTAATTAATTTTTTATTTTTATTTTTCATTTAATTTATCTTTCATTATTTTTTATTTTTCATTTAATTTATCTTTCATTATTTTTTATTTTTCATTTAATTTATCTTTCATTCGGATACAAGTGATGAAATTTCCTGAAAATCATTCCGAAATGTCTGACCGCAGGTCCCAAGACTGATTGCCCGACACACGTCATTGGAATTCTTCGCATACGCACTGATATAAAATCCCCCTCCCAATTTTCCCCGATCTTCCAAAATTTTCATGCCCACGCAACAAGAGTTGCCTAAATTCGTCCGATGACGAATCGTCAAAATCTCGGCGAAGGTCCCCCCTCTCGGTTGCACCCGATGCTTTAACCCACTAACAAGTTGACCCAGTTTTCCGCAAGGCATACGGCAATTTCGCAACGCGCACAGAGTCGCAATAAAATCACCCGCCCGTCTGGAAACGACCGTCAAGGGTACCGGAGAGAAAAATGAAAGAAAACGCTCGAACGGAGGTAGAACCAAAAAAGAAAAAAAGAAAAAATAAAATATCCAAATCTCCATATCTCGGCAATTACTTCCCTCTCGTTCGCCCCCCGGCATAATAAATGAATCACCTCGTGTCATTTCTTTTTCCAATCGGTATGACAACCACGACAGTCCATTTACCTAACATATTCAAATACGCCCGTTCTTGGAAAAGCATTCACAATCGAGCGTTCGCTTCGTCGATAACAATCTGCCGGTCTCATTTATACAAGGCTGAAAATTGCCAACATGACCTATCATAAGCGATCGATAACTGCTCGAAGATTGACAAGAGCGTTCCTCCCGAAACGAGACACGACTTTCGGTGCGTCTCTCCGGAAAAATTGGACGGAAGCATTCCGGATAATTCCTATTACCTATACCTATCATAAGCGATCGATAATTGCTCAAAGATTGACAAGGGAGTCTCGCGCATTTCTCCCGAAACGAGACGCGACTTTCGGCGCGTCCCTCCGGAAAAGTTGGACGGATAATTCAAAAAGCACGGTCTTTGTCGTCTGCCGAATACCCCGCCGACACTCCGCGTTAACCTTTACCTCGAGAACAAAGGCGACAGGGGAAAAGAGAGGAAGAAAGAAGGGAGACCGATATTACGATGTCCTTTTACACGTCGCGGTATCGTCAAGCTTTTCGTGCTCTCTGCCGAACAGAAGAGCCGCGCAATCGCTCGCGATGAAAGTGTCAGTAATTCGGGATTTCCTTCCATTCCCCCCGACGCGACTGATAATCATGAGGCAGGTGTTTTCGAGGATGATCCTTCCTTCCGACTCGGGCGCGCTTTTAATAGGAACATGCCTTAGCGATTACGAATAGGCACTCTTTTGGGTTGTACTCGCGTAGAGAAGATTCGCACTCGAGATGAAGAAAAAAAGAAAAAAAAAAATTGGCAAGGTATTGTATGTATGTCTAGCACCCGACGTGAATCGATGACAATTGGATTGGATTCAGATTGGATAATAATTATAATAATTACAGTTATTATAATAAGTATAATAATTTCACTCTAGGTTATTTACCCGAAGGGAAGAGATTCGCTCCCGATGAGAATTAAAAAAATTGGCGATTATTGATTGTGGTCCGGCATTAAATGTGAAGCGTGTAGTAGTATCCAGGGCGAACTTCTAACGATTCTGATAATTTGATATTAATCATGATAATTCGATTTTGAGATCATCCACACGGGGGGGAAGATTTGTATTCGACTTGAGATAAAAATGAGCAAAGTTTGAACTACTGATTTTCATCTCGCAATGAAGGTGCGTTGTGCATGTATCATTGCGTGTAAATGTGCGTTGTGCATGTATCGCATGTAAAAGTGCGCCGTCCCGTCTACAGGCCGAAGGACAAAAGCCATAATAAGATGTAATAACCATAGCGCCTGGAACTCTCGCACAGTCATTCGATTTAAGTAACCGATATCGAATTGCCGGATTTAATGTCGGCTGAAAGATTGAAGGTGTAACCGAGATGCGTTCTGCATGGCCTGAATAAACTTTGGATCCAAGAAAGGGGAGTGAACCAGGAGAACCGAGGCAAGGTGTCTCTCCCTCCGCCTCCACGCACATAAAGCCCCATAGAGTATCTACAGTGCGATGTCATTGAAAGTTTCCGCATGAGCACGGTACACGATTAACTCGCTTAATTAATAGAGCCGTGGAAAAGCGCCTGTATATCAGCCGAAATAAACCCGTGAGAATGCACCCCGAGGAGTCAGCTAACTAAATTCAAAATTAGCCCCAGAACTAGCGGCGGATTTGTTTCGGCTTTGACGAGCCATTTAAAGCGAGTCATTTTGACTGGTACTTCTGGTGATAAAAAAGTACCACCCCCACCTATCCTTAGCCCTTAACGAAAAAAGAAAAAAAAAACGGCAAAACCTTAAAATAATTAATAAGCTTTCTTAATATTTCTTTAATACTGAGATTCAAGCCAAGGATTTCCAAGAGACCAGGAAGTTGAAGTGAAAACCAGAAAACATGGTGGAATTAGGTCCCACGTGTTTTCTAAAATTGTTTTGTATTTAAAAAAATTCCAAGCAGTGTATCGTCTTGAAAGGGGAAAAGGAAGAAATTTCAACTACATGTATACTATGTTCCGAGTGGACATTTTTTAACAGTGATAGGTAACCTGGCCGAGTGCACCTGCAGGATTCATTTCCGTAGGGAAAGTGTCTCCCTAATTCGTCCCACGCGGTTTCCCCCGCTTTTTTCTTTTTTTTTTTTTTTTCCTTTAGGGTTGGCTCGCACGATTCGGGGGTGTAAGTACATTATGTGCCCGACGGCGTTCCTTATGTATCCTTATATACGAGGGGCCAGTAACTCGTGGCTCGTGGTCTCGCAACCGAGTCCGGTCCACGTCAGAGAGTGACTGGAGAATTTGCGAGAGCAGTGGCACGGCCATTCGGTCGCTTTCTCGCAGTTTTTCTCTCCTCTCCCCTCGGCTTGGCTTACATAATCCCCGTAATCGGGAGAGGCACGCCGGAGAAATGCGAGAGGCGATCGCCGAGCACGTCCGCGCCTTCTCCAAAGATAAGATACATGCCCGGATACACCACCAGGTCCTCCGAATTGTCCTGCGAGGACCGATAAAAAAAGGCGGAACTTGAAGAAGCCCTTGTCAACGAATTTCCGGATTGCCGGTCCACGCCCTAAACTTCCTAATTTTCGTTAACGATTTTCGAGGACACCTTTTCCACGGATCTCTACACGCCGATTTATCCGGTGGCGGAAAAAAAAAGAGAGAAAAAAAGAGAGAAAAAAAAAGAGAGAAAAAAAAGAGAGAAAAAATCATATCCCGACACGTGCGTGTATAAGGAAAGGTGTACTCGAGGTCGTCGAGCCACCTCGAGGAGGGAGGTGTCTCGTGCACCTCGATGTCGTCGAGCTCGCGGGAGCGGTCGTTCCGCTATTGATCTCTTTTGATCGGACCCTTCGATGGCTTACTCGGTTGGCACATAAGTGGAAGGCAGGGTGAATCGGGTGCATACATCGGCGCGATTAGATCGATCGGCAGGGGAAGAGAATATCTCGCGCCTCGTTACGTCCAGTGGTCTCCAATGATGTTCCAGTGATGGCGTTCAATGGTGATTAATGATGTTCGATGATGTTCCAGTGATAGCCTTCAGTGGTGATTAATGGTCCTAAATGATGTTCCGAGCTGTTTATCGGTGCTCAACGGTGTTTCATGGTATTCCATGGAGATCGGATGTGTTTAATGGTGTTCGATGGTATTGAATGGTGATAATGTCCATTGGCCTCCCATAGCAGGGAATGTTAGTCAACGCGATAGCGTTTCGTTGATGTTTAATGGTGTTCGATGACGTTCAATGGCGTTCAATGAAGGTTCGATAGTGCTGAATGGTGATCAATGATAGCCAATGGCTTTCGATGGTTCCCTTGACGTGAAATGTTACGTCGATGATGACCAACTGTGACGAAAATCTTCATCTCACACCCCAGGGGGTCTTAACTATCCTAGACTATGTAAATCCCAACGACGTGTTACCTACACGGAGGCGTGAAGTTTCATCAACTCCTCGTTAAATGGCTCGAGGGAAAGGGACGTTTTTCAGGGTTCTGCAATTCGGCGAGATCTGGGTACGCAGCTTA